CCACCCCCCCAGCCTTTGTCTCCTATTGTTGGCTGTCAGACTCCACCACTGTCCTACTTCCTTAAGCTCTGCACATACCTTCAAGTTCTGGAACTCCTTTTCCTCTTCTTTGAGGACCTCCAGCTGCTTCAGCACGGAGTCTTGTTGGAATTCACCTCGGTCTATCTACAATCCAAAAGGGACTGCTCAGTGGATGGAGGAAGGCTAAACTTCCATTTCTCCCCAAGGAAAAGAGGGGGAGATAAACACAAAAATTGCCATCGACTCATCCTACTGCCTCCCTATCCTGCCTGGACCACAGCGGCAGGGAAAGGCATCAAGATGGAATTCTGAGTCTCCTCATTGTTGCTGAGTCCCCATTATAAAAGGTAGAGAGAGACAAAGGCTTTGGGGCAGGTCTCCAAAGCCACAGTTACCTTCAGAGGCTGGCCTTTACTGATTTGGTCTAATAGATTGAGTAGGTACTGAATTCTGGGCCAGTGTATCAGATTAAAATACAGTAAGATACATCTGTACTCATTATGGAGCTGGGCCTTCAGATAAATCACTACAGAATGTCATCTGCTACACACAGGTGGCTTTAAGAAGAAACCATGAGGGGTAATGACATTTGCACTGTTGGCAATATGGGCCACATCTGTCATTCCTAACAGTGACAGATGTACTGAAAGCTGCGTTGGCCACTGAGTGCCAACGGGCTAGAGGCAGGAACCCTTGTTGGGTAGCTCTGGATCCCGACCATGCCTCCTAGTGAAATTTGCATCCATTCATGGATCAAAATGCTTCCCCCCCCCTTGTTTTGTACCATCAAATTGGATCCGACTAGCACAGTAGGAGTAGGAGAATGACTCTCCTTCTCCAGTTGAACATCTCGTGGATTCGAACCACACGCCTTTGGGATTACAGTGAAGCTTCTTGCCACTAGGCCACCAGAGTGACCCCAAAATGCTTTTTTAATGGTGTCATGTTGAATTATGAGGTTAGTCCTTCTGTTTTCCAGTAGCTAACAACAGTACAGAGGAGCTTTGGTGGCACAAGGATCACAGCTGGAACTCACTAGTTCCTCCGTGGAGAGATGTAGCTGTTGGTTTATGTAAAGATGACAGCTTTGGAAACTCTCTAGGCAGTTCTACTCTCTGCTAGAGAGATGCTGAGTCAAAATTGGCCATTAGTTTGGTTGTTTTAACACAGTGCCTGATATACAGCTATAAAAGTTACTGAATAAATGACTGAAGTAGCACAGCTCTGAAATACTGAAAATTAAAATAATAATTAGACAGGAGATGGAAAAACAAAGGGTACAGAGAGTGTACAAATTACTCTGCATAACTACAGTGGCACACGCCCCCCCATTTATCACTTCTGCTAATTATGATCGATGCCAGGCTCCCACCTCCTTGCCACGCTGGACAACCACCTCCCTTAAGTCCCATGGAGTCAGCTGAAGAGCTCCAAGTCCATTACTGCCACATTGATACTGCTTTCACACTCTCTAGTAAATGCTTGAAGTTTCACCCAAGTCACCTTCTAAGCGGACTTTCTTAGGTGACAGATCATGCAGAACTTGGGGAGTTAGGAAGTGGGAAATGAAAATCTTTCAGGGGTGGGCTGGCCAAAGCAGATCACTTCTGCCTGAGTTAGCTCTGTGTTCTTAATTCTGAGGATTAAGTGGTGTTATGGTTGGAGCTAAGTGACCTTGAGTCATGGGGACCCCATCTGTGTCTGAGAAAAATTATGCTCTAGGGTTTTCAATGGCTAGTCCTTTGGAGTTGTCTACCACTCGATGACACTTAACAACATAGAGAGAGCTCAGTGGGCCTCGTGGACAGAAAGTGATGCTACCAAGCCAAAGGTGGGTGATTTTAATCTGTGGCCCTTGTTGTTGTTGTTAAGTGCCATTGAGTCACAGGCGACTCTATGAAGGAGAGTCCTCAGTGCTTGGATGTCTCTCATCCTCTCTCCAGCTTTCTGGAGGCAAGCTATTACGGAAGTGGATGCCACTCCTCCTTCCAAGCTTGTTTTAATTGGGGAACTCCACCCCACTTTCTGTCCACATTGGGTAACCAGCCATTAACACATTTGACACATCAGTGTCACGGTGTTCAGCCTCACAGCAACCACAAGTTACTGCTATACGGCAACTTGTATACCAGGCTGCGGCCCTTAGGCCTGGTTTTAATTGTTTTTGGTCAAACATTCTTCTAAGTGATAGAACACTGGTCTGTCCATTTGCTGTACAGAGGTAACTCGTGGTTGCCGTGATGCTTAACACTGTGACACTGATGTGTCAAATGTACTAATGGTTACCCATGGTGGACACTATTTTGGGGGGCTCCCCAATTAAAACAAGCTTGGAAGCAAGAGTGGCATCCACTTCTGAAATAGCTTGCCTCCAGAAACCCTATGAACTTGGAGAAATTAAGAAAGTTATACAAGTATGCAGGTCTTTCGTTCATAGGGTCACTATGAGTCATCTACAACTCAACGGCACTTAACAACAACAACAACAACAACATCTTTTGGAGTAGATCACTAGGCCTTTCTTCCTAGGCAATGTGAGCTCCACTCAGGCACTCCTGATGAGAGTCAAGAGGGAGAATTAGCCCAGGTCCTTCTGTGGATGGTTGGGTGAAGCTTGTCCAGAGGGAACAAAGCGTTTTAACAGAGACAAAAGTACTCAGCTCTGCCAGGAGAGGGGGATGAGTGTGGAAAGGTAAGAGACGATGGAGACTCAGCTGATCTGATTCTTACTGGAGAATGCAAAATTCAACAGACAAAATTAGTCAGAGGAAAGAGCTTATGGGAAGCCACAGAGTCAGGATTAGCATGTTGTGTGATGTGCCTGGCATTCTGTGATGTGCTGTTCGGCAGGAGTGAGGCTGTGAAGAAAGGTGGTGACCTCGGATGAAGGACCTTGAGGACATGCCAAACAAGCTGCACTTTATCAAGCAGGACCTATGTGCAGGCTGGGCACTCAGGGCTTTGAAGTAGAAGAGTCACATGGTTAGTCTGGCATTTCAGAAGGACTTTGGTCAGACTCTGAGGGGGACTGAAGAAAGTGGAAGAAGCCCAAATCAGTTAAATGGGATGGGGTAGTACAGGTAAGCAATGATGAAAATGAACGTGAAACAGAGATGCACCCCAATTGTCCTGTAGTGCTGAAAGACAAGCGCCGGGACTCAAAAACACAGGGGTCTCAACCCTAGACTTAAGCATACCAACAGTCATGATGAAGTGTGGGAGTGCAGCATCTCCTTCTGTTGTCCACTGGGACGCTGTGAGTTGGAGTTGACGCCAGGGTAACCGACAACATTGGCACTCACTGTGTTCCTTTTGCAGTGTTCCAAGTGCTGTACAGGCATGAGCCCTGAATACCTTCATCCTCACCCATCTCTCTCCTTCCCTCTCTTACTCCTTCCCTTCAGCCAGACATGTTTGTGGCTTAGAGTAAGCAAGGACTGGCAACAGAAAGACACATTATGACATCTCTTCCCCTTTGGGCCCTCAGGCCTAGTATGGAAAATTGGCATCCCAGATTTAGCCAAAACGGTGCACCACAGCTGGAAGGCTCCAGCACCCACCCAGGGCCCCATCCTGTTACACTGCCACTGGCTTCAGATGAGCTCTGAACTACGATTTTTTGATATGTCTGACTTGCTATCAAAGTAGAGATCCTAAGTCACAGGAAGACATCCCAGGAATAGAAGCTCAGAGACAAGGACCTTCCTCTAGAACCACCAAAAATAAAAGTCTCCCCCTGGAGCTGGTGCCTGGGATTCAGACTTGGAGCCTCCTAAACAGTGAGTAGGGATAATTTGTATATAGCTGATTATAGCTTAAGTATAGCTTAAGTATCTGTATTCTTGCATGTTTATCATTGCTTTTATCAGTATAGTGCTTGTCTGTCAGTTTGCTGTACTGAGGTAACTTGTGGGTGTTGTGCTATTGAAAGCTGTGCCACTCAGTGCGATGTCAAATGCAAGAAGGATCACCCATGGTGGACAGATATTAGTAGAGCTCCCAGATTAAAACACATTAGGAAGCAGGATTGGCCATCACTTCTTAAATAATAGGCCTCTGAAAACTCTATGAACACTCTAGGGGAACACAGATTATCTATATGTGTATTATATCTGAATATTAGAGGTAGAGGCCAGGCTGGAAGTCAATCAAATGAGGAGAAGCAGCTGCAAACATCCTTTAATTAGAACATGTAATGTATGAAGTATGAATGTTGGAAAACTAGAGCTTGTGACAAATAAAATGGAAATAATGAACATCAATATTCTAGGCATTGGTGAGATGAGATGGACTGGCTTTGGCCACTTTGAATCAGAAAATCATGTGGTACACTATTCTAGGAATGAAAAACAGAAGAATGATGTTGCATTCATAATTTTAAAAAAATACAATTTTAAGTTCTATCCTGAAGTACAAGGTTGTAAGTGATATGATACTATCAATATGCATACAGAAAAATATCTATTAATAAGACTATTCTTCAAATATATGCAAAGAGTTAAAGCAAAGAAGAGGAAACTCAAGATTTTAACCCAAATTTTGCAGTACAAATTGGCCAAACATGCAATCAAGATGCATTAATGATAATTTGTGACTAGAATGCAAAAGTTGGAAAGGATGAAGAAGAATGGTGGTCAGAAAGCTTGGACTCAGGGACAAAAATAAGTCTGGAAATCTAATGACCACCTTTTGTATGTTCAATAATTTATCCATTACAAATACCTTTTATGAAAAGACACAAACAGCAACTTTACACACAGATCTCACCTTATGGACTGCACAGGAATCTGACTACATCTGTGGAAGGAACTGTTGGAGAAGCTCAATATCAGCAGTCAAAATCAAGCTAGGTTATGACTGTGGGACAGATCATCAATTACTCATGTGCAAGTTCAATCTGAAGCTGAAGAAGATTAAAACAAGTCCATGAGAACCAAAATATGATCTTGAGTCTATTTCACCTGAACTTAAAAAAAATTTCTTAAGAATAGGTTTGAAGTGTTGAACACTAATGATCGAAGACTGGATGAGTTATGGGATGAGAGCAAGGAAATCATCCAAATAGAGAGTGAAAGTTTACTACAATGACAGAACAAAGAAAAACACAAAATGGGCGAAAACTGCACTAGAACATTGAGAAGCCAAAACAAAGGGAAGAGATGTAGACGTGAAAGAGTTGAACAGCAGATGTCAAAGAGTAGCTCAAGAAGACAAAACAACATATCATAACAGAATGGGCAGAGAGCTGGAATTGGAGAATAAAAAGGGAAAAACTTGCTTAGCATATCTTGAGTTGAAAGAACCAAAAAACCAAGTTAAGCCTTGAATTGCAATACTTAGAGATGCTGTGGGCAGAATCTTGAATGACCTAAAAAGCATCAAGAGAAGACAGAAAGAATATATACAGAATCACTACCATTAAGAATCCGTACCAAAGAATTGGCCAACAGGGACATATTTCAAAAAGTACTATGTGATCAAGAGTCAATGGTAATGAAGGAGGAAGTGCACTGGCAGCTTGCATTTTTGCATTGGCAAAAATAAGGCCCTAGGAAACAAAGCAATTGATATGTTTCAACTGACAGATGTGACTCCAGAATGCTCACCAGTCTATGCCAGATGGCTGGAAGAGACCCATATTTGTTCCCATTCCCAAGAAAGGTGATCCAACAGAATGTGGAAGTAAACAATATCGTTAATATCACATGCAAGCAAAATACTGTTGAAGATCTTTCAAAACCAGCTAGAACAATACATAGAATTGCCAGAAGTTCAAGCTGGATTTAGAAGAGGCTATGGTACCAGAGATATCATTGCTAATGTCAGATGGATCCTGGATGAAAGTAAAGAATTCCAGAAGAATGTCTATTTGTGCTTTATTGACTATGCAAAGACATTTGACTGTGTGGACCATAACAAATTATGGCTAACATCAAGAAGAATAAGAAACCCAGCACCCTTAATTGTGTTCATGCAAAACCTATACCTAGAACAAGAAGCTGCCATGCAAATAAAACAAGGGAATACTACATGGGTTAAAATTTAAAAGGTGTGCATTAGGGTTATATCTTTTCTCTATAACTATCTAATCTGTATATTAAGCAAATTGTTCAAGAATCTAGACTATATGGAGAAAAATGTGGCATCAGGATTGGAGGAAGACTCATCAATAACCTTTGTTATGCAAATGATAACAACCTTACTTACTGAAAGTGAGGAGGACTTGAGATGCTTACTGCAGAAGATCAAAGGCTACAGCCTTCAATATGGATTGCATCTCAACAACAGGAAAACAAAAATTCTCACCACTGGATCATGATAGACAGGGAAAACACTGAAGCTGTCAATGACTTCATCTTACTTGGATTCAAAATCAATATACTTGGTACCAGAAGTCAGGAGATAAGGAGAATATATTGGAAAGACTACAGTCAGGGACCTCTCCATGTTACTGAGAAGCAATGATGTCAGTTTGAGGACGGAGGTATAACTGATTCAGTCTATCGTCTTTTCAGTCATTTGCTATGCATCTGAGAGCTGGACAATGAATAAGGATGAAAGAAGAATACTGAATATGAACTTCAAAGAACAAACATATATGTCTTGGAGAAGGTCCAGAGTGCTCCTTGTGGGCAAAGATCATAAAGCTCCATCTCATATACTTTGGGCAGTTTACGAGGAGAGCCTATTCCTTGGAGAGGGACATCATGCTTGGAAAGGTAGAGGGACCCTCCATGCTTGGAAAGAGAGGAAGAACGTCCATCAGATGGACTGACACAGAGATTGCAGGAATGGCCTCTTGTGTGTCAGGGAATGTGAGGATGGCACAGGATAGGACAGGATTCAGAACTGCTGGTCTTAGGATCCCTGTGAGGTGTACTCAATTCTATGTTACCTAACAACAACAACAGCAGCATCATCTCACAGATCAGGACACAAGGAAGCCCATGGCCTATACCACCTGGCTTTGCTGTCACTACTAACAGCCATGCCTTAGAATGTGCCCTCTTGTTGGAGTTTCCACTTGGACAGCCAGGTGAAGTAGGCAGGGTTCACTAGTGAGGATCCAGGCTGCACAGGTGGTCCCTAGTGAGTAGGGCTGCCAACCCAAAGCTGGTGGTAGTTTATATGCACCAGTAGCTCCTTGGGAGACAAGCTGGGCAGTCTCCTCCTGTTACATTTTCCAGCCTCAGAAACTTGATGGAGGATCACTATGAGTCAGAATCTCCTTGCTGGGAGTAACGGGATCAGTACTGTGTGTCTCATTTTTTTTCGTACTGTGGTGACCTGCATGTCACTAGTGTTTCAGAGTCAGCCAATGTGGACAGACTTTAGAAGAGCTTCCAGCTGGAGAGAGATTAGGAAGAAAGGCATGGTGATCTCTTTGTGAAAATTACCCAGTGGAAACCTTCTGAATTACAATAGAACACTGTACAACTCTCTTGCTTTGGACATAACATTGGGAGGATCAATCACTGGACATGAGTTTCGGTGACATGAAGCTGAGGCTAAATAAGATCATGGGTGAGCCAGCTTGACACAGTGGCTGTCCTGGGGCTCAAATATGCCAAGTGACCATGGGGTGGTGATGGGCCATGCTGCACAGAGGGTTGCCTTGAGGTGGGCTCATTCACCCACAGCTGATGGCAACAATGTACTCAAGAAGAGAGGAGCAGGCCTAGGGCTGCTGAAGAAGTTAAGAGTGAGGCTGCGCCTGTGCTTTTTATAAAAGTTTGGTTCTGGGTTTGAGAAGAGGGAGCAAATTGAGCTGAATAAAGTATTTGCATGTGCATGCATGCGAAGCATGAGTTTTGCAACAATGCAGCATGGCAATTTGCACAGACTTTTCTTCCTGCTGATCAGCCAGGGTCTTGGATGGCTGAGTGCCTGGAACACAGCACAACACACAGACACATGCCAGCATCTATGACCTAGAGCCTGGCCTGCTGTGAGGGGCTGCCTGCCTGGCTCTATGTGTTGCCTCTGGGGTGTCTGGAGAACTTAGGAGCAGGGCTCCTGGGCCCAGACGCCTCTTACCATCAGCTGCTTGATGGTGGAGTGCTCTTCAGTGTCCCGGCCAGTGGCAGGCTCCTTGTGCACAATTTCCACTCGTATATCATTTTTGGCCGACACAACACCTTTTAGATCTGGACATAACAAAGGGAAATGTGGATGACAGGCTCAGTCCTCATCTCGGACACTGGGGCTGATACATTAAGCCCTCTGTTACCATCCCTTCCCCCAATGTTTATCCCCAGTGCCTGAGCTCAGCAGCTTCACACCCCCACCCCCACCCTCAACAAACTGTCTATGCTGAAATCCACATGTTGTTTGGGCCTTAAAGGATGTTGACACACCTTCACAGGTCTCTTTGGCACCTGCCCCTCTAGTTTTCACTGCTTTTGCTGTTTTCATCCACTTGTCTGCCTTACTGAGTTCTTTGTGCTGAGCCAGGTCTCCTCCCTCCCATGTGATTAACTGCCCCTGAAAACCTGCTGGAGGGTCAGCTATGGGTCGGTTCTGACTCGATGGTACACAACAGTATAACAGTGCTCTTTGGTGGCTACGCAGGGCTGGTGTGGGAAGAAGGGGAGCTCACTTACTAGATAGTAGACGTGTGCTAACTTCAGTAAAGGGAAAGGCAACTCCCGCATGAGGGGAGTCGGAACAGCACAGCCAAAGGAAATGAACACATGGGTATGTGCGTCAGGCGCTGCGGCAAGTGCTCTAGCACGTAGTTTCCCAACAGCAGTAAAAGCTGAAAGTGTGAGCGGTCACATAGGAAGGTGTGTAGCCTGTACAAGTATGGAAGGGTGTGTGGGGCTCGCCAACATGCTTATGTAGGGATAGGTGTGGGCAACTGTACATTCATATTTGTATGTGCGACACACACATGCACATCTCTTACGGAAAGGAGCTATGGAAACTGCCCAGAAAATGCTTTGTGTTGCTGGATTTAAAGCTGCAAGACTGCAGTCCCAGGGGACATGTGGGTCAACTGGCACAGTACAGTTTATGAAGACAATGTCCCACTCTGATGGATAGTGTCTGGGATTATAAAAGCTTGCACGAAGCCTAACATACAGCTGTTGTTCTCCTCCCACCTAAAACAAATGAGAATGAAGACCCAAAGAATTAATCCTCAGGAGAAATAACCCATAAGAATTGCAGTCTCGTGTAGCCTGACACCAGAACTGGATGGTACCCGACTACCATGACTGGTCCTAACCTGGGATACAACAGACAGAAGGTTGTGGATAGAATGAGAAGGAGCTAGGGGAGCTCTGGTGGCCTAGTGGCAAGGAGCTGCAACTACAATCCCAGAGGCGCATGGTTCAAATCCACCAGATGCTCTGCCGGGGAAGGAGGGACAATCTCCTGTACCAGTCAGATCTGATTTGACGGTACACTCACACAAAAATAATAAAATTTAAAAAAATTTAAAAAAAAAAGAATGAGAAGGAGCTGGAGAAAAAAAACCAACTCAGATTCAGAAGAGTCAGACTTAATGACTGACATCCTGGAGGAGCCCCTGGGATCGCTATACCAAAGCTTTAATATGGGACTGAGCAACTAAGCAGATCAGCGTATAAACTTACACCGTAACACTCATGAGGAAGAGTCAGCAATGGGAGAAAAAACCAAGGCCAAAGGAAAAAGAATAGGTGATAGCAGAGGGCAGGGAGAGTGCAGGCATGGGGACAGTGCAGGTGGAGTGGACAGAGAGAAAGCAGCGGGCAGGGGAGAGTGAAGTCATGGGGATAGGGCAGGTGGGATGGACAGGGAGAAAGTGGAGGGCAGGGGGGTGCAGGCATGGGGACAGGGCAAGAGGGATGGATGAGGAGACCCCTGAGAAGAAAGAGGGTGGGGAGGAGGATGCAGGCATGGGGACAGGGCAAGCGGGATGGATGGGGAGACCCTGGAAGAGAAAGCAAAAGACAGGGTGGTGCAGAGGTGGGGATAGGGCAGGCAGGGCAGATGGGGAGACCTGCTGCGGGCATAGGGACAGGGCAGATGGAGTGGACGAGGAGACCCCTTTCATGGAGGACAACTGGCCGTCAAGGCTGGAAGCATCCGGGCTCTAGGTCACGCTGCTGGGCTGGAAACCAAGCTGGGGTGTAAACTTGTACTCCAAATACAATAACATGTTAATAAGTAAGTAAATAAAAGAATACAAAGGGAGAAAATCATTGCTTCCTTCTAGACTTATACCTGCCCTATCAGTCTCTCATTTCTCAGTAATCTAGTCATAGATTGTAGGGTCAGAAATAGCCTGCTGGTTCCCAGGCCAGGCTCCCACTGGATGCAGAAACCTTTTTCTAAAATATCCCTCACCTGATGATGTCTAGCTTCTGGGAAAGAGTTAGGACTTGCTGAGGAGGCGGGATGCTCAGAGTTGAATAGTCTAGTAGAAAGTTGTCCCTAAAATACAATGTCCCCTGGGAGGGCGGGGCAGGGTATCCAAAAGCACACCACTGGGAATCGTGAGGGAACTGAAGCAGCTGAGTGGGGAACCTTTAAGGGGAACATAGCGGCATTCCTTCAGATGTGAAGGCTGCCGAGTAGGCAGGAATAAAACTCACTTTGATCAGTTAGTGCATTAGCTTCTAGAATTTTAGAACTAGAAGGAATCATAAAAGCCATGCCATCTACAAATGAGAAAGCTGAGTGTGGGAAGGCTCTGGGCCATGAGATGGCTGGTCCCTTTCCTCTGTGCCCAGCTTATCATCAGATGTCTGTCATTGTACACAAGTTTAGGGTGATGCCAGGGTGGGACTCTAGAGACACACATTTCTTCACCAGTACACACATCTGATTTTTGTTGCTAAAGACCATGGTCTCCTAAAAAGCCTGCACAGAGCACTATTTTGAATGATGTTTCCTCTATGTAGGTGACCTACGTTTCTGGTTGAACTAGCAATTCTTGAAAGGCTAGAGTCACTCCACCTCTATCCTCCTTCAGCTGCAATGCAGTTTCCAATCAAGAGTGCTATGTATGTTCAATCCAAGGTGCCAGCTGTCTGCTCTGCCTGGTGCCATTACTTTTGTTCATTCAACACTCAGTGAGTGGCCACTGTGTGCCAAGTGCGGTGCAAGGTCCTGCTATCATAGATGAGTAAGCCCCATCCCTGTCCCGGGCTCGCCGCACCACAGGGCCCCTGCTCATTGCACTCCTGCTTACTTGCTCTCTGGGGCAGCCTAAGCCTGGCCTTTTTCTCTGTCCCCCTCCCTGAGATCCCGGGTCTCCCTCCCGTACTTCTCTGGGAGCGGGCACAGCAGAAGGCCACGATGGTTGCCATGAGGACGAGGAGGGCCACACCGGCTCCTACAGCCACCCCGATGATGACGGCCATGGGCACAGACTCTGGAGAGAGAAGCAGGCACAGCTGATGAGGGCCCAGGACATGGCTCAGTAGCCCCCCAGGACCTTTCCCAGTCCCTCAGGGCAGCTCTTGCCAAGTTGGGGCCAGACCACTGCCAGGCAGGCCCTCCTGGGAAATGCCTTGGTGGACACAGGCTGAATCCAACAGGGGCAGCTCCAGCTGGTTGTATAGAAGGGTAGGGACGTGGTATGGAGGGAAGAGCGGCCGGCATGGAGAGACATCAGACACTAGAGGGAATGGTGGGAAGAGAGGGGGCAAGCAGACACAAGAGGGGAGGCCAAGACAGAGGGGTGCAGGAAGTGGGAGAAAAGACCATGCCAACTTAGATCTTTGGTCCTGAGTAAGGAGCGTTCTCTCAGGCAGTGACTGCTGAGTCACAAGTCCTTGCTTTGTTTCAAAAAGTGAATATAGTTATTGCCCTTGGCTGTTCAGTTGTCTTTCTGTCTCTCTGCTTTCCGAGATGCTGGAATGTGAACAAACAGCCTTTTAGAGCTGAGGCAGCTTCTCCTCAGGGCCTGCTGGGCCTCCTTCAGCCACCCAGTCTTTGGGGACAGGGGCCCTGGCAGAGGCACTGGGCAAGGTGAGGATTACAGTGCCCCTAGCAACCCTTCCTTAAGGAGAGGCGCCCCTTTTCCTTGACTCCCTGTCCTCTTGGTTCTCCCAGGCCAGCTCTGCCACCCCTCCCTCCCTGCTGAGTTTTTGTAGTCTGTCTCCTGTCCTCCAAGAACTGTGGGATGGACATGGAGAAGGTGATGATGAATGGGGTTTCCCCCAGCAACATGCCAGGGGCCCTGAATATGTCATCAGGAATGGGATCTTAGGATCCCAGAGCTGGGAGACCTGAAGCACCACCAAGCCGAAGCCTCTCATTTTACAGATGGAAACACTAAAGTCTAGAGGAATGGAATGTTGGTCAAGGATGCACAGCTACATAATGCCAGGACCAAATGCAGGTCTCCTCTCCATGGCTCTCCCCACCTGCCCCAACTTCACTGCATTCCCCAGGTTGCACGGAGTCCTTCAGATATCACATGGCCAGGTAAAGAGCAAGGACTTGGAACCATACTGTGGGGCTGTTAGGACATGTGTTTCACTACTTCTTGGTTGAGTGATCTTGAGCAAATCCCTTTACTTATTCTCTCTGTAAAATGAGGATGGTCACTGTGTTGACTCAACTGCCAGGGGGGGAAGGTGAGCGTATTCAGTCTCAGACCTCGAATGGAGCCCGACCCTAAGACAGAGAGCTTTTGCTGCCATAAAGTATATGGGAAATGGGGGCTGCATAAATGAGGAAAAATTTCATTCCAAGACCTGTGCTCCCTCACCATCTCAGGCACCTCTGCCAAGAATGACCTTGGAGGACAGTTGCTTGCCCTGGGGCCATGGGTGTATGTCTCATTGTGACTTTCTTTAAAGAGAGAGGAGACTCCCAGCCATGGCCCCTGGAGAGGGTCTGGAGAGAGATGGTGTCTTTTGGTACTGGTACCAATGCTTATGCCAGTATATACCTTTTTTCTTCCAAGAGTGCATGTGAACTCTTTAGTTATCCATTTATTGGTGGCTGAGGCCACTGAGGACCAGTAGGGGAGTGAGCAAAGAGGAAACAGGATTGGAAAACATTCCAGGGCTGGATATGGGAGGTGTTTGTGTCCATCTCAATGCCTCAACGGTTGAGACTAAGAACATGCACTCGACCTCAGTCCCACTGTGCTTGTTTATAAACAGACTGCTCTTTCTAGGGCTTTAATTTTACTAGGAGAGGAAAACTGTTTGAGGAATATTAGTTGTTGGCTTTTGACTTTTATAAACTTGGATTTGGTTCAGTTTGTCTTTGGAGTTCTATTAAGTTTTTTCAGAAAATCTTGGTCTTGTCTCAGCTGAACTCAGAGGTAAAAGCTAACACTGGCAGGTCCTGAATCTTCAGATCTCAGATCTCACCTGTAAAACTAGAATATATTCTTTCTAGGATACTTTCTGGCCTGGCATTCTATCTTTCCATGAGCTGTTAACAGCACTGAGGCACTGGAGAACTGCCCAAGGTAAGATGGGGCAGAGCAAGAAGAAGCTGTGGGCCTGAGTGGTCCCTGGGAGGACCAGTCCTTTGCATTCTGTGTGTGCATGTGCCTGCGTACGTGCATGCACGTGCGTGTGTGCGCATGTGCAGGAGATGTGTGTGCAGAGGTGTGCATGCTCACTTTGCTTTCTGAGGTCTAGCCTGGGCTACTTTGTGCAAGCCACTCAGCATCTCCTGCTGCCCCTGAAGAGACCTGAGGGAGGGACTGCTCTTGGGCTCAGCTTCTTTCTTCTGGGTCTGGATGAACAGTCTCAGGTTGGAAGGGAGAAGGGCTGTCAGGAGGCTGCAGTGAGTATTAAAGTGAAATGGAGACGAAGAAGTGACCCACAACTTCCCCCAACTCCTGACAGGAAGTCAAGAACAGGGCAGAAAGTTCTTTCTGCCTGGGCTTAGGGACTTCTGGGAGCTTGCCAGATTCCAGGATTAGTATCCCCATGGCTGACGGGGGCCAGGTGTGTGATCCCCCATGAAGCTTTGGACGGAGCAGGCATATCTCTAGGTCCCTCTGGTTGGAGTGAGAAAACAGGGGCAGAGGAAGCCCAAGACTTGAGCATGGTCTGAGACTGCCCTGCAGGCTCTGTTGTTGGGAAGTAGCCTGAAGGGTGAGTCCTTGGTGCCAGGTACCTGGGGTGGGGGTGGGGGAGAGGATGACAAGTTCAAACAGTGGGTGGGCAGCAGAAAGTGAGCAGGCAGGGGTGAGGGAGCCACCCGGGGCTGGGCAGCATGGCTAAGCTGTGACAATGTGGGGCAGCAGGAGGCAGGACCTGGAGAGCTGACCCTGGGCGAGGAGCCGGGGCTTGCCCTGAGCTCCTGGACATGGAGGAGAGCTGAAGAGGGGCCAGGATCCCAGGAGGGTGGAGCCCTGGCACAGTGACACAGAGACAGGACTCAGGGGAGCCTAGCTGGCCGGGAGCCTCCTCCCTGCTCTGCCTGCGCTGAGCTGGAGCTCCGAGGGAGGGCAGAGGACAATATCTTGGCCTCTCTCTCCTCTCTGAGGTTCCTGCCCCCACTAGCAAGAAGTCCCTTCCCTCCCGACCCAGGACTGGGGCATCCTCATCATCTCCTTCCATACCTGCTTCCAGCCCGGCTCCCGACTTCATTTCTGAACCTGTTTGGAAATAAAGCAAGAGTCCACTGCCAGAGCCTGGCTGGCCAGGGCGGGGTAGGCCCCAGAGGGCTGGGGGCACCCTCCGCACTCATTCCCAGCACTGCCAGTGGTGGTGGGCTGGCAGGACTGGCCTCAGAGCTAATTTCTAGTGACTGTAGACCCCAGAGGGATAAGAGGGACTGGGGAGACACCAAGGAGAGCATGAGGGGCACTGCAGAGGAGACATGAGGGTGAGCAGCAGGGCCAAGGGCTAGAGATGATGTGTGGATGATACTGTGCAAGTCATGTGCAAAGCGTTATGCAAAGCGCACCTACTGGGGAAGGTCCTCACTCACCAACAAGGCACATGGGAGGTCTTGGCTAGGGACACCTCCTTGGCTGGACTCTCCTGCCAGGGCTTCTGAGGCCATGGGGGTAGGGGAGGGATTTTGCTCAGGGTTGGGGAGCAGAGGCTGTCAGGTTTTAGGTCTCCCGGATTCTCTGCATTCTGGGACCAAAGAGCCTGCTCCAACGCCCAGCCAGCTGAGCATGAAGCCCTGAACACAATCAGATATAGGCTGGCTAAGAGCAAGGTCAGCAGCCTGTCTCAGGACAGAGCACATTCGAGCTGTCTCAGGGTTCCCAGGGCCACTCCTCTGGTATGTAAGAGGCAGCTGTCCTCACCCCTGGGGTTGACGCCCAAGGGTTCTGAGCACAGACAAGATTGCTTCCTGCCTCTCACCCAGGAGTTGGGTGTGTAGACTCAGAGCCCAGAGCCTCTTCCTCTGTTCCCCAGGGATAGGGATAGTTCAAGTCTGTGCCTTTGGCTCCTGTGCCCGGGGGCCTTTGAGATAACAGGACTAGCACGTTGTCTTAATTAGGGTTGCATGGATTCCCTAACCCACCCAGCTCCTGTTTATTCTCCATGCTGGACCCAGATCCCAGGCTACTCCTCAGCACCACCCTTCTTCAAGGTTGCTAGGGAGAGTACATGCAGCCAAAGCCTTGTGACTTGTCATGACCAACTTCTGCTGTCACCATTTCCCAAAACACTACCCTCCAGAACCACCACCCTAAACGAGTTCTTCTTCCCCTTCTTGTTTCCTGGTGGAGGCGTCCTCAATGGCTACAATGGGGAGCTGGGGCTCCAAAAGTCATCTGCCTGGCCCCAGGCCCATGGGAACTAAGGACGGCACTGTGGCTGGCCCCAACTTGGCCTGCAGCCTTCCACCAGGCCCTCTGTTTGCCAGGACCTGGAGACCTGGCATGTGGCCTCAGCGAAGAGACCTGGCAGGCCTGTGGGCCCTCACCCCTGGCAGCCCCACCTTGCTCCTTGAGCCGGATGATTTCTGTGTCGGAGCCAAAGCTGTTCCATGCTGTGCAGTTGTAGATGGTCTGAAAGTCAGCCCGCACGATGTTGCTGATGGTCAGGGTGGAAATGACACCCTCCTCAGTGCTGACTGTCTCTACCGTGTAGCGCCCTGATGTCCCCGACTCTAGCACATTCTCCTTCCAGGACCAGGCCTGCCGGAGTGCACAGAATTAGTGGGAGAACCCCCCAAAAAAGACATATCAGGACCACTGAGTCCCACACAGGAAAGGAGCCAGGATACAGCCCTACACATACCAGGACCATGCAGTGACACACACGAGGACTATAGAGTCACACATGTTAGACAGGGAGACGCACACACTAGAATCATGGGGACACACACACCAGAACCACACAGCTACAAACACCAGAACCACACAGCTACACACACACACACACACACACACACACACACACCAGGACCACACAGCTACAAACACCAGGACCACACAGCTATGCACACTAGGACCACCCAGCTACACACACTAGGACTACACAGCAATGCACACCAGGATGACACAGTTATGTACACCAGACCACACAGCTACACACACACATATACCAGGACCATACAGCTACACATGTATACTAGGACCACAGAGCTATGCCCACACACCAAGGCCACATAGCTACACACACCAGGACAACACAGATATGCATACGCACACCAGGACCACATGGCTACCCACACCAGGATCATAAAACCCATACACACACTAGGATCACACAGTTAAACACACCAGGACCACACAGCTATGCAAGCACACCAGGACCACACCGCTATACACACTAGAATTATAAGACTCATCATGGAGACGCACACACCAGGACCATGGAGAGACACACACATCAGAATATGGAGACACACACATACCAGGACCATGAAGACACAAACACACAGGACCAAGGAGATACTCACACCAGAATATGGAGACACACAGAACAGAACCATGGAGACACACACAGAGGATCATGGAAACATTCATACCAGGACCATGGAGACACACACACTAGAACACAGAGATACACACACCAGGACCATGGAGACACACACCCTGACCATGAGACACACATACACCAGAACATGGAGACACACACACCAGGACCATGGAGACATACACACCAAGACCCTGGAGATACACACACAGAGGACCATGGAGACACACCACTTTACCATGAGACACACATACACCAGAACATGGAGACACACATGCCAGAATCATGGAGACACATGCACAGGACACGGAGACACCCCCCCCCCAAGATATGGAGACACACACACCAGGACCATGGAGACACAAACCCAGGACATGGAGACACACATACTAGAACCATGAGACACACACCCCAGAACCATGGAGACTCATACACCAGAACCATGAGACACACAACACCAGGACATGGAAACACAGACCCTAGGACTATGGAGACACAACCCCCTAGGATATGGAGACACACACACACACACACCCCAGGACCATGAGACACACCCCCCAGGACCATGGAGACACATATCACAGAACATGGAGACACACACCAGGACCATGGAGTCACACACACCAGAACCATGGAAGCACACACACCTGGATATGGAAACACACAAACCAGAACCATGGAGGCACACACACCCAGACATGGAGACACATGCACCAGGACCATGGAAGACACTCACACCAGGACCATGGAGACACTCACACTAGGACCATGGACACACACACACCAGGAACAGGTAGATACACACACCAGGACATGAAGAAACATGCACCAGGACATGGAGACACACACACCAGAACATGGAGACATACACACCAGGATATGGAGACACACACACCAGGAACATGTAGACACACACACCAGGACATGAAGGCACACACACCAGGATCACATTGCCATACCCGTCAGGTCCACTGATCCACATGCACCAAGACCATGGAGTCACAGTTCTCCAGCAAGAGCTGGTACTGTCAGAACACATTCACGGTTACTGCCACACGCCTTCAACACACTCATTTGAATCATATTCACATAAACCTACAGAAATATATACAGCACACCTACACAACACACACACAAATACATTATACACATACAAATATATTATGTATCACATAACGCTCACTGATAACACACCCACACAATAGACAACAACCACATAATACACATACAGCATACAACCACAAGTTACACACCCACACAACACTCACAGACAACATCCATGTAATACACTCATACAACATACAGCCACAAGTTACACATCTATACAACATCCACAGAACACACACAACATACCCACATTCAGCACACCAACACAACACACATAAACATATACAGAATATATAATGCACATAGCACACCACACACTCCCACATGAGGAGTTACAAGTCAGGACCACTTCAGTGGCTATTCCCATTCAAAAAGGGTCTTATGTGGATCTCTAGATTTCCTGGGTAGTGTAAATGGTTAGCAGACTTGATTGCTAAATGGAAGGTTAAGGATTCAAGTCCAATTAGAAGCAGTTCAGTAGAAAGAAAGACCCAGTGACCTTGATGAAAGAAAAGCCACTGAAAATGATGGAGCATAGCTCTACTCTGACACATCATGAGTTGGAATCGACTCTGCAGAAACTGTTTAAAGGATATGCGACTGCACATTGGATGTATTTTCAAGCAAAGTGGGAACTCTGGTGATGGTCGCCCCACCTGAGGGCCTGCAAAGTGCTTCTCTCAGCAGGTCCACCACTGTCTCAGAGACACAGTCCTCTCATAGCCCCCAGGTGTGTGCTTGCTGCCCTGGCAGGGCTATAGCAGATTATCAAACCTCAATGACACAGTCTAGTTTGGTGGCTTGCCATGTTTTTTTTAAAGCATATTTAGAGACTTTTGTTTGTGATAACCTTTATTATTATGTACCATCAAGTCACCTGTGACTCATAGACAAGGACCCAGCTCTATACTGAGCCAACATGTCTCTGACACACCCATCCCCATTGCTCTAGTCACCGAGCCAATCAATTTCATCGAGGCTCTTCCTCACTTGCGCTATCCCTTCACCCTCCCAAGCATGATGTTCCTCTCCAAGGACTGGTCCCTCCTTGCAATAAGCCTAAAGTATGTCAGACAGAGCTTCAGAATCCTTGCCTCCAAGGAGTAGCCTGGTTTCACCCTCTCTAGGGCGAACTTGTTTGTTCTCCTAGCAGTACATGGTATATTCAGTACTGTTCTCCAATATCACAGCTCAAAGTGATCACTTTTCCTTCTAGCATCCTTAGTCATTGTCCAGCTTTCTGATAGCATATAATGTGAAGACTATGGCCTGGATCAGGCACACCATAGTCTCCAGACTGGCATCGTTGCTCTTTCTAAATTCGTGAAAACCTTACCATATCTTAATTCCTAAGGATGATGGTTTACCTTTTTTGCAGTTATTTTACAGAAATTACAAGCATCTCACTGTTGAATCTTCTTGCACACACTGGCTCCTGGTATTTATGAGGATATGTAATACAGGCAAAAGGAGATAGTTGGCAGTACTAATGGCATTTTGAAATTTTTGTAACTCACCCTATGTCAGTGATTTACTACAAATTTATCTTCTCAATTAAGATAGGAATGCTGAGAACTTGCCGAACAGGTAGTGTTAACACAGAAGGACCCCAGAAAGACATCTGGGTATTTGAATTGACAAAGTGAGAGCTAGCATCTGGACAAGACCTTCAACAAGAATGCCGAGCCTGGTCCACCCATAAGCCTGCTGATTCTTGACCTGATTACAGCCTTTGCTTGTTTTTCCTAAGTATTGGACACTTGGGAGTGTGGGGGAAATGCCACAATGCAGCCGGCTTTGTTGCTTATTATTCCTGCGGGGAGCCTTCTCTTCCTGAAACTTGGGGTCTGCATTTGGAGTCAGAGACTGCAAGGCTTCAAACCTGAGTTTTGGGTAACAAATGTAAGTGCTTGGAGGGCCACCCAGAGATGGACTTCATTGTCTTGGCAACATGTGAATGTTTTGGACACGTTTTTGGTGTAGGGTGGCAGATAAAGAGCTCACTTTGGCTTTTGGACTCTGGGTTCTGAAAGCAGCCCTAGTAATCAAAATGTCTTTGTCTTTCTGAAACATCTAGATAATAGTTGTGTAAATGAATTGGGTGTATACACCTCATTACTTTAGCCACAGACCCCTGGAAGGGAGGGTCATGACAAGACAAACCACTGTCCCTCCCTGAGATTTGATGTGGATCAGCAGGGTTAACAGAGCCCTTTCTGGATTGGCACCAGAGTGCCTGCCTTTCACTTTTCAGTGACCAAACAGGGAAGATATACATTGTTTCCAGGTAGTGTGTCCTGCAGACTTTGGGGTATGAAATGCTGACCGGGGCCTTTGGGGACTCTCGGCTGTGGTGCTAGGTGAGCACACAGTGGCTTCAAGCCACTTAACCTTGCCTTTCTGGCTGGTGTGGGGTAAAATGAGCAGAAGTGAGCCAGCTTTGGGCCCCTCCCTTGTGGTTTAAAGGATGGAAGAGCTATCACTTCCACCCGGACAGCCTTTTTCTGAGCACTGGCTCAGAAATGGATCTACCTTTGGTTTGCCAGCCCCTCTAATATAAGCTGATTTCTATGTGCTGGTGCTCTGCGAGTTTTTAGCGTGTGCAAGCTCTAATGAGAAGTGTAAGAGTCACAGTTTTAGCAAGCAATCTGTTAGGCCTTCTGGGTTTAGCTGTGGACTGTGGGGTGCCCAGCAGCATCCTTGGCCACTAGGTGCCAGCAGCACCCCACCCACCGTGACACTGAGCTGTCTTCAGACAGTTTCAGTGACCCCTCGTGGCAAACCACAGACTAGACAGCCTAGAGTCAGACATCTATGAAGAAAAGCTATGCAAATGCTCAGGACTGAAGGGAATACTTTGCAATGGCATGTGTTACATTTATGATTCTTAAGAAATTGAAGTGTGATGTGATCTGGAGGCAAGGATGCTGGCTCTATACATGAATTCTTTCAATGTTTGTATGGATTTTTTAAGATAATCAATGAACTAATTTCTGGGAAAGTACGCAACAGCAAGCATACTCCAATAACAGCTTCAGGAGGATGGTGGTCTGAGTTTTTAGAGTCTTTATTCCACCACGAGCAGCCTTAGTGCCCCAGGCTGCAAACATGGCTTCTGGGGCCACAGTAGGTCAGCAGCTGGTCCGCCAGGTCCTACTTACACTGTAGCAGCACCAAGAGCGAGAACTGCCTTGTGCCTGTGAAGGAAGGTAGCTGGTAGTACCAACTCCAGTTTTTTCCTCTGTGTTAGTGATTTACTGTACACTTACTTGTCTTTTCAATTAGGATATGAATGCTCTAAACATACAGAATAATTTGTCACAGGAGAATCTGGAAAAAAACCCCAAACATCTACATGCCTAGACTAACAGAAAGAGATAAAGCTCTAAAGTTTCTCCATAGACAAAGTGACAAAAATGTTAATTATGAGCCCTCTGTAAGCTTACTGAGCTGCAAGCCCCTCGGCTTTGGTTTCTCTTTGTTATTACTGGACCCCTGACAGGAGGAGTCTGGGGAAACTCTGAAGTGCAGCCTGCTTTGCTGCTGGTTTCCCCATCAACTAGCCTCCTAATACAGAGCCATGCCTGTCCTTGAAACCAGGGGCCTTTTATTTGGAACTGAAAGTCTAGGACTTTTAAACACTGGACTGCCTTCTAGAAGGATTGCTTTAGATATTGGCGATCTCCAGCAATAATACATTTACCTGGTATTGCTAGAAAATGCTCCCATTTCTTTGTTTTCATGGGACCAGTATACCCTGTGACCCTGAGTCAGGCAGGACTGTGGCCCCTGATACCCTGTGACCCTGAGTCAGGCAGGACTGTGGCCCCTGACACCCTGTGATGCAGATCTTTAGGACTTTCTTTGACACTGCTTCTGGGTGGACTTGAACCTCTAATCTTCCAGTTAGCAGCTGGATACCTTCACCGATTTGCATCTCTAGGGACATCTTGGGTGGAAGATTCTCTTTCAGCACCACCAGCACCTCAGAGGTTATGTGTGAATTATCCAGACTGTCTCCAGTATTTCAGGAGAAGGAAGGGGCATGACTGGAGTGGACACTGTGTGGGTGGGGCCGGCTTCTCCTAGTGTCCAAAGAGACAGAGGCTGACACTGAGAGAAATAGAGAGAGGTTTGCCAAGACAAAAATGCCCTCTCTTGATTTTGCAGTCTGACCTTGAACCAAGGAGAAGCAAAGAAATAGCTTCTTTTCCTTCTAGCCTCAGTCCCTCACTTCTCTGCTCCTCAGAGGCAGGTTTGTTAGAACCATTGGCCCAAGTTCAGCTGTGTTTCAGGTAAACTTGGAGTGGGCGCAGAAAACATCTACAACCTGTGATCTCATCTGCTGAGGCCTTTCCAGAGAGATGAGGCCAGTACCATTACCCCAGGAAATGTGCCAGTTCCCAGGCCACGACCTTCCCAGAGCCCAGGATGTGCTGGGGTCACTCACAATGCGGTCCGGTGGTGGTGTGCTCCGGATGAAACATTTGATCTGGCCCTTCTCCCCGTGGAGGGCGTGCTGGGTCTGTGTGCTGGAGATGATGGGGGGTCCTGTTGGCGAGACAGCATGTCAGGAGGAGTTTCAGAAGGGGAAGTTCCCCTCAGAAGGTTCAGGTTTAATTCAATCTTTTGGGGCAAACATTTACTGAAAGGTCTGTGTAGAGCAGGGGACTGGGAGATGAATTAGACATCTTGAAAATCATCCAAGGAATCACGAGTGAATGCTTTTAAGTCAGATTAGCCAGAAGATGTAAATAACTGAACAGTATGGATGAAATGCTGATTTCAGAGGAGAGGAAATCATTGTATCTTGGAGTCAGGGAAAGTTTTGTGAAGAAGGTGACTCATGGGAGGGGAGGAAGCACTAACTTCCCACTTGAGCCAGCTATTCAGGTTTGAGCAATTTCTCAGATAAACAGCAGAGACTGGAATGTTTGCCTAACCAACGGCATGTCCTCTGTTGGCCAACAGGTAGGATCACAAATCTCTTCCTCCAACCTGGGCCAGAGTTCGTGTCTCCTTGGAAACCATCCGCAGCCTTAATCACACCTATGCTTTGAGAGGTCTTGTAGCTCACTGAGGGTGCTCTGATGGCCTAGTGGGTAGGAGGGAGTTATGCTGCTAACCCAAAGGTGTGTTGTTCAAATCCACTACCTGCTCCATAGGAGAAAGATGGGCAGTCTCCTTCTGTGTGATTCACAGTATTTGAAAAACCACCACAGTGTGAGGTAGGAGTCATTCTGACTCAACAGCAATGAGTTCAAGTTTGACTTGACAACAATGTTGAATTTGACTACAGCATCAGGTAGTTGTTCTGATTCAACTACAATAAGGTTAAGTTTGACTTAACAGCAGTGCTTGCCTGCCTCCATGTACTGTCCAAGATGAGACTCCAGTTCAGAAACAGACCCTGAGTGAGTGTGTGACACGTTCATGGATATTAGGTACCAAGAGGAACCATCTACCCCACTGCACGGGGTCCCCACAAGTCTCTATCCTGCCCTGCTTTTATGCATCCCTCTCGCCTGTGGACATTGGTCAGGGCGAGGAGAGTGGCCAGTTAGCTGCCTGCCCGGTAGGTCTGGACAGTGCTGGATAGCTTCCTGAGTGCAGGAAAGAGAGGAGGAACAAGGTATCTGTAAAAGAGGCAAATCATGCAGCTTTATTATCCACCTTAATGAGCACAAGCTTGCATTTCTGTAAGTAGCTCTTAGCCCCAGTGGAAAGCCGGGAGACACTCAGATAGATGACATCTCTGGATGAGGCAGATGTGGGTCCTCTGAGTAATCTACCCCTTCTTTTTCTGCCTAACTTCCTGAACACCAAGGAGCCCCTGGGCCTAAGGTGATGCGGGCTGGACGGTATATTAGGAGCCTTGCTGGTGCTTTGTTAAGCTTGAAGGCTGAAAGTGATGATGCCATAAAATTTCCCCCTCATCTCCCAGGAATCAGGAATTCCTTGCAGGGTGGTTCTAAAAGCCATCAGGCAAATGCATGTGTGTTTATGGCTTCTTAAAGGAAGACAAAGTTGGGATCCAGGGCAATGAGGTTGGAGAGGTGAACAGCATCCTACACCCTCTCACTTCATGCAGATTCAGGTTTGAGCCAATTCTGTGCTTGCCCCTTTCCCCAAGGGCCCTGTCAGCTTTGCAGGCTGGCCTTATTTGGATGGAGCCTTGCCTCACTCCAGACCCGTTGGGAATGTCACATCCCTTCAGCATGTGCCTACACGGTTCTACAAAGGGAAACCCCCCTGGAATTGCTTCTCTTCCTGTGTCACTGAGCACATTCCCTTGCTAGAGAGAAGGTGACCGTACTCCAGAAGAGATGGAGGTCACCTCCCACCTCTCCAGCCTTCAAAGGAGCTCCCAATCCCATTTCCCTTTGGCCCAATTTGTGTGTGTGTCTGTGTGCACACATGTCTTTCTGTGTGGGCACCTGTACATGTGCCTCTGTGAGTGTGCCTCTGTGTGCATGTGCAAGCATGTGTTGGGCTGTTGTTGTTAGGTACCATCAATTCAACCACAGACCATAGCAACCCTATGAACAGCAGATCTGAACCTTGCCCTATCTGGTGCCGTCCTCAGCATCTCTGAAAGGCTGGAGCCCTTTGCTACAGTCATCATTCCAGTCTATGTTGTTGAGGATAATCTTCTCTTTCTCTGCCCTTCTGCCTTTTCTAAGCATGAGGTCTTTTTCCAAGGCTTGGCTACTCCTGAAAGTATGCTCAGGTATGCATGTGAGATGACGTTTCACCATCCTTGCCTCCAAGGAGCACCTTGGTTACACTTAAGAAGCCTTAAAACACCCCTGCATTTGCCTGATGGCTTTTAGGACTCCTGAGAAGCCCCAGAGATTCCTAGTTGCTGGGAAGTGGAGGGAGAAGGCTCTATGGCGGATGCAAGCAGAGGAGTAGCCTTAGACTACACCCCAGAGGACCATGGCCTCCATTCAGGAGGAGTGCACCCCCAGGCATGGGCTCCCCCAGGAGTTTTCTCTTTCAGAAACCACTTCAGATCTCTGTTGTGAAAACACCTGCCATCTAAAGTGACAGCAGAATGTCAACTGCTTAATCTACCCACCCCCCAGGAAGGAAGATGCTCATTTAACAGCGTCAGGAATGGAACCTGAAGAGGGCATGGGGCCCTAGGTCCCAGAACACCGGCAGTGACTGGAGCTGGTTCTACCAGGACAACCCTGACTCCCTGGTGCCCACAGCGCCGCCCTCTATCCCTCATGGCCTTGTCAGACAGGAGCATGACAGGGAAAGGCTACAACTTGTGTTGCCATGGATATAATGGAGGTGCGATCAGATGCTGTTATTTTTAGCCCTGCAGTACCAATTTATTGGTGGCTTCTTGGGGACACACGGGAAAGGCATGGAGGCTCGGGATTCCATTCGGCCGTGAGCATCCTGGGCTCAGGGTAAATGCACACTCCTTTGGCTTCCTAAGGCTCAGGAAAGGGGGCTTGATTATGGTGATCGAGCGGTGGAGAAGCTGAGGAGGTCCCAAGCTGGCTTCAGTATTTTAGCAAAGAATTGATGAGGCTGTCAATGGGCACATCCTATGTTGGGATGAAGCAGAACTGGGCTAATTTCTGAAATGGCTGCTCAGCGCTCATTAGGGACCTGGTCCTCCTGGAATGTTATGAACATTGTCCATCTTCCTCTCCTGGGTCAGTGCTGGGGATGTGGGCCTGGGCCCACTACACGACAGGAGGCACTCAGGGCCATGGGCATGACACAGGCATGAAAAGGACGTTTCTGACTTTCTTAAACCAGCAGTTTTGGTTCTGACTGTGCATATCATGCCAGGAACTTTTGGAGTTTTCTTTCGGGTGTCCTGACAGTTCATGGTTCTGAATGAGGCTGGTCCCAACTTGCCATGACCTTCTACATCCTATAATGCAGTTCTGCTCTGACCCCCCATCCCCTGCATCTAACAGGCATCTGGTAGCCCCCTCCTCAGGGAGAGCTCACCCTGCTGCTGTAATTGCTCTTATTTCACCTGGTCTCATGGGAAGGCCTTGGTCTAACACAATGTGAAGACCCAGCCAGGAGCCACAGACACACCCCTTACATTTCCCACCAGGCCAGGTGACTTTGAATAATCAAAAAGGTGAGCAGCTGTTTATGTTGACCACTCAGTGACCCTCTGAGCCTTCTCTGCTGTTGTTAAGGGCCGTAAAATCATAACTGACCCATACTGACCCTTCAGCAGGTTTTCGGGGTAGTTAATCACACAGGAGAAGATTACCCATCCTTCTTCCATGGAGCAGCTTGTAGATTCAGACTGTGTGCCCTGCAGGAACAGTGAAGCTCCTTTATACATTTCATCAGGTCCATCTTAGTGTGAACTAAGAAGGTCACACAGAAGCAAGGGATGCAGGCAGGTGTGGAACTCACAGACTTCAGGACAGCTCTTATCTGTGCTGTAATGGCAGACATTTCTGCCTTCACTTGGAAATGATTGAACCAACCCCTACGTCAACAATTTTTTTTTATCACAATCACCTTTTCTCACTGCATGTGCAACTTTGGGATGGCTGAAAAGGCTCATGCTAACGCAAGGGCTGAGTAAGAACTGTCTGCACTGCACCTCTTCTGACCTAACCACAGGCCATTCATGACATCTTCACTACCTATACCTGGAGGTGATGGGGACACCAGAGAAGGCACTCTGGCCTGCCCACCTCGGCTGGGCTCCCATAGGCATGAGAAGAGTAGAAAGCATTGCTACTGGTCCACAGTGGGAGATGGTAGTAAGGAACAAGCCCAAGGCAAATGCTGTGTCCAGGGTTCCTGAGCTCCTCCCCTGCCCCCCCCCCCAACCTAGCCATAGGGTCTCACCATTGACAGTCAGGGTCACTTCTCGCTCCCCGGCCCCCACCCGGGGCACCACGGCTCGACACACGTACTTTCCAGCATCTTCCTGGCGTACAGTATGCAGGGTGAGTGTTCTTTCATTGCTCAGGACCTAGGAGAAGTGGGCAGGGTGACAGTTGCAGCTCAGTGACATGATTCTCCACCCTGATTTGTAGTCCCAGCCAATGCACCTCCACACAGCCACCACTTCTCTGTCAGCACGGGCCCAAGCATTGTTATCATGCTGAACAGAGGTCTGTAGAACTTCTAGACAAGGAGACTAGGAAGAAAGGCCTGATGCTCACTTTTGAACATCAGCCAATGAAAACCCTATGACTCGCAATAGTCTGCTTTTCAGCCAGTCATGAGAGGGCACAGGATCTGCGGGGCTTCGATTCCCTGGGCATGGGGTCACCTGATGGCAGCTAGTAACAGGAGCGCTGAGGTGTCCTAATACCTCCTGTCCTCATGATGGTGTGACCTCCCTAAGGCTGTCCACATGACCTTGATACTTTCCTGAGTCATTGTCAGTATCCCTTTGGGTTCTAGTTCAGGGTGATGAAAAGAAGAACCAACTTTGGCATTAGCTAGGTCAGAGTTTGAATCCTGGCCCAACCTAAAAATAACTGCAAGCTATGGTCTTTCTGGTCTTGTAATGGGTGTAGGGCTGTGTCTGGCACACGACAAGCTATGTCAAAGCCGTTTCCTTCTGCTTCTATCTGCCTTCCTTTCCCTGGCTTCCACTTCCCCTTCTCCCTACAGCCCTCATGCATACTGGAAACAGCAAACATCTTAAAAGAATAACAGACAGTGATGCTTACTTAAGGCTAAAACTTAATTCCTTGGGGGATGCTGGGAACCTGTAGGTTCCAGGGGTCTGCATTCCTGCATGTCAGGCTCATGCAAAACCACAATGGTGTAAGGTGCCCCACAGGGCTGAGTGGTACATGTGGAAGTCTGGGGGGGTCCCCTTTCTTCCTATGGCTGACTTTAAGGTGTATGGACATCCCCCAGTCTTAGAGGCCCTGTGAGGTTGAGGGGGACTCACCACACCCGAGCCCCGCTTCATCCAGACAATGGTGAGGGAGGGATTGCCTGTCCAAGCACAGCTGAAGATGGCATCTGAGCCCAGGTCCACCAGCAGGGATTGGGGCTCCGTGGTTATCCTGGGGCCAACTGTGGTGAGAGAAAGGGGAAACAGGGTTAGGGTGGGTGGCAGCTTGAAAGCCCTCCTTGCTCCCCCAGTCGCCACCATAGCTGGAGGAAGAGTGGCGGTGGGGTCCTTGTGTCAACACCACCCATTACAGCTCCCCCACCCCCTCAAGTCCTGTGTCTAGAGGCCTGGGTCCTCTCACAAGAGTGGGCAGTGCTGGCCCAGTTTCTGAGGTTGTCTGGGATCCCCCACTTCATCCCCTCTGTTCTGATCCCACCTGGCTTCAGGATGTTGGGGAGGTACCCTGTACAGTGAGGCAGAGTGGAGAAGAGGGGACAACACCCCCTAAAACCACCTCAGGCTCTGAGACTCCTCTCTCTTGCTCTCTCCTTCCCACCTTTCTTGTAAACATGAAACTGGGCATGGGTCCCATCTCTCCCACACTGCTCCTAAGTGGTGATAGCATGTATGGGGCTTCCAGCACCCTCAACCATAGGCCTTGGGGAAGTCAGCGAGCAGGGGTGTCAGGTGAGAACTGCCCACTGGACAATGGAGAGCATAAGAGGATCCTACCCAATGGAGAATGCAGAGTGTGAGAGGGCCCCAAACCATGGGAGAGTAGGCAATATGAGAGGACCCCCGACCACTGGGCAATGTTAGAGGACCCATGACCACCGGAGAGTGTGAGAAGACCCCTGACCACTGGAGAACGGAGAGTGTGGCGACCTGCAATGATTGGAGAATGGAATGCGTGTGATGTGGGGTGGATGAAGAGCTGTCCCGTGCTAGGTGAGGGAACAAGGGCATTTTCAGTGAAGCTAGGGTAAGAGGATGGCATTCATACAAAGAGTTTGGAAAAGTGCCTTTCAGGTTTGATGAGCCACTAATTGATTGCAATTAATGTTATAAAACAATTATAATAAATCATGATAATGTTAGGAAGCATGGTTTATTGAATGAAAACCATTATGATTTGTAAACTTTAACTCAACTTTTAAAAAGTGCCTTTCAAACTGTAAAGGACATTTCCCACACAGAAGCCTGCGATGTTGTGGATGGTGGGTGGTGGTGAGTGAGTCCCACTGATGTACTGGAGGGGTGGCTTGATTATGGTGTGTGGCTGTGGGCCCTGTAGGCCTTCAGCGGGGACGAGGAGGAGGACTCAGAGGCCTGAGACCCTTTAATGAGAATGTGCCTTGTGAGCCCCTGTAGACCTTCATTGGGGACAAGGAGGACACAGAGGCCTGGGTCCCTTTAATGAGTGTGTACCTTGTTGGGTGGGGGAGCACAGTTGCTTCAATTCTCTTTGGACCTGCTGGCTCTGTGAACCTGCACTCTCATCCCCTAATCCCAAGGGTGGAGGGTTGGAATCCTAACCCTCTGAGGTCAGAGTGAACCAGGAAGCTATTATATATTGTCACGTGTCCAGCCACAGGGCTGAAACACTGTGCTGTGCTGTGGAGGGGAGCCCAGCATAGTCCCCTGAAGCCCCTCTCTGCTTTGCCCCATCCCCCAGAACTCACAGTAGACATCCACGGTGCGGCTGATGTTGGTGCTGCCCAGGGCATTGGTAACCTCACAGGAGATTGGCTCTGAGAAGTATGTATAGTCTGCCGTGGTCTGGTACACCTCCCCGGATGCCTCCTTGATGACCTGGCCCCGTTTGGCCCACCTACAACAGAGGCCTTGTGGCTTAGTGTGGCCCTCCAATGGCCTAGGAATCCCTCCACTGGAACATCTTTGTAGGGTTGGAAGCACCAGCCCACAGGGACTGAAACGTGTCGCCCTGGCCCGGAGGCATGGCTTTGTTTCCAGCGCCTGAGTTACCTAGAGCTGCTAGAGCAGAGACAACACATGCAGATGATTTTGGCAAACAAACTTATTTTCTCACAGTTTAGGAGGTTAAAAGTCCAAATTCAGGGCGTATGCTCTGTTGTTATGTACCATTGAGTCATAGCTAAACCTCTAGGGGATTCTCTGAGGCCCATCTTTCTTCTGTGGAGCAGTTGGTGGATTTGAACCATGTGTCTTTGGGTTAGCAGCGTGACTTCTTACCAATAGGCCACCAGAACTTCCTTTTAGTGATGATGTTGTTGTTATTATGTGCTATCGAGTCACTTGCAACTCATAGTGACCCTATGTACAACCGTCCTAAACTCTGCTCTGTCCTGCGTCAATTGCACTGCCTCTGACACAACCATCCCTATTACCCCAGTCACTGAATCAATATACCTCAGTGATGTAGAGGCAATAAAATACAAAGGTTAGAGGAGGGAATGCTCATAGAACATAGGCAGGTTGTGAATGAAATTTGCTCCCAAGTCTTTAAGAATTTGTTTAGGTAGAATAGAACAGGTACACATTATTCTATTGACCCTTAAGGTGATAAAGAAAAGGAACCCTCATAGTGTAATGAGTTATTATTTGTGGGCTGCCGACCAAAAGCCTTTCCCCGTCAGCTCTGGAGGAAGGTCCTGGGGGCTTCAGCTTTTGTTCCTTGGGTCTTTGCTGATCATCATCACTCTGCCCTCTCTGCTTCCTTCTCCAATAAATCAGTTCAGTTTATATCTCAAAGGTGACTGGCTTAATTACACAGCCTAATGTGACCTTACTAGCTGTAAAATCCTGTTTCCTAATGGGATTACATGCTCAAGCACAGGAATTAGATTTCTAGCACCTGTTTTCAGGACCTAGTTCATTCCCTACCACTGCCCAAGCAGCCCTGGAGGCTTTCGCCAGCTGGTCAGCCCGCAGTCCGCAGGGCCTCTGGTTGGTGAGGCCTCTGCTAGGTGAGGTCTCTGGAGGGAGGGGGCTGCAATCTGCACCTGGGCAGGCAGCTGTTGAGGAGAATGCCAAATCTCATGAGAGCATGGCTGTTGCACTGTGCTCTGTTTTGGTCCTGCACCAAGTGTCCTGGTGCAGAGGACAAACTCATGACTGTGGGGACCTCGTTCAAGGTGTGCTCCACCATCCAGACTATGGGGGAAGACGTCTGGGGGTGAGGTTCCCCTGGCCAGTCCTCTCACTTCTCTTGTTCTCACTAGGGTCCAGGGTAGCCACTCATGGGATCCCACTCCTAGAGAACCTTTCTAGGGTGGCACTGGGTCTTTGTCTTGCCCAGCCTCTGTCCTCCCAGCCTGGCTTTGCTTCTCAAGGTCCTGGTTGCCAGGGTGGGATAGGTGGGCAAGCTGTTGGTACTCCTCTTGGAGAAGACAGGAAAGCCCTAGGCTGGTCTTAACCTGTCTGGGGCAGGGTAGGTACTACATAGGTCAGTGAGCAGGAAGCCACTCTGTGTGGAGCAGTGCTGGGCCTGCAGCTGTGTGTGCACATATGTGAGTGTGTGCACGTGGGCATGTGCAGTGGTGAGGGGGGAGGGTGTGTGCACATGTGCTTGTGAGAAGATGTGGGTGTGCATGTGTGAGGGCGCTCTTCTGCTTAAATCCTACTGTGGATAACACTCACTTTTCTCCAGAACACTTGTGAGCTGAGGGCTTTGACGGCTACAATCCAGTACTGTCTTACCCATGGTAAGAACAGGCGGCTGGGCACGGGATGGGCACTATCCTTGTGTTGGCTTCAGGAGGGACACCTGAGTGTACCTGGCAGCCAGCTTGCATGCACTCTGATTGGTTGTTTACTTATGAATATCTTTTTTTTTTAAAAAAATATTCCTGACTAAAAAGGCAGTCATCAGAATAGTGCAAGGAAACACTGTATGGTTCAAAACTGGGAAGAGTGTACACCAGGGATGTTTCCTATCTCCATACCTTTTCAACCTGTATGCAGAACAGATTATCCAGGAGGCTGGTCTCTATGAGGAGAATGTGGCATCAGGATTGATGGAAGATTCATCAATAATCTATGTTATGCAGATGACACAACCCAGCTTGCTGGAACTGAGGAGGACCTGAAGCACTTGCTGCAGAAGGTCATGGACTGTAGCCTTCAATATGGATTGAGGATCAATATCAAGAAGACAAAGATTCTCACCATTGGGCCAATTGGCAGCATCATGATGGAAGGTGAAGGGATTGAGACTTTAACAGCTTTAGTTTGCTTGGCTCCACAGTCAACACTCTTGGCACCAGTAGCCAGGAAATTAAGATGTATTGCGATGGGAAATTCTGCTGTTAGGGACCTCTCCAAAGTACTGAAGAACAATGGTGTCACTCTGGAGACTAACGTGCGTCTGATACAGGCCATTGTCTTTGCAATCACTTGCTATGTGTCAGAGAGTTGGACAGTGACTAGGGAGGATAGAAGGAGAATTGATGCCTTTGAGTTGTAGTGTTGGAGAAGCCTATTGGATATACCCTGGCCTGCTAAGACAATGAATGACCTACAGAGGGTTAAACCAGGCTGCTCCTTGGAGGAAGAGATTCTGAAGCTTCGTCTGACATACTTTGGACTGGTCCTTGGAGAAGGATGTCATCATGCTTGGGAAGGTGGAAGGACAGTGCAGGAGAGGAAGACCCTCTATGAGGTGGATTGATTCAGTGACTGGGGTAATGGGGGTAGGTGTATTGGAGACAATAAGATTGGCACAGGATAGAGCAGGGTTTAGGGCTGTTGTACATAGGGTCGCTATGAGTTGCAGGTGACTCAACAGCACATAACAACAACAACAACAAAAACAACAACTAAAAGTTCGATGAACAGTATTATTAACTTCTAAACTCCTATCACCTTTAGTCACTGTCATTAATGTGCACATTTGCTTTATGATTTTGTCCATAAACAAATTTATACTCTTTCTTAGCATCCTTATTGAGGAGCTTTTTAAAAAAAATTTTACACTGGTTTACATACAAAATTCATAAAGCTGGTATACATTGTTTTTCACACCGAATCTTTCCCCTTTCATTTACCCATCCCTCCACATTTATGTGATGCTGGTGACCTTGGGAGTCAGACCCAGCAGTCTGAGTCTCAAGGGTGTTTACTCAACCTGCCCTGCAGGCCAGAAGGCAAGTGTGGGCTGTAGGGTCCAGGCCCATGGCTAAGGAGATGGGTGAACTGCCCTCCTGAAGCTTTCTGATAGCTCTAAGATGATGTGGAGCCTCAAGAGGCAGGAACAAATGAGTGGAAGAGACATGGAGGCTCTGTACCTTTGGGTCTTCTTGGAGGTGCCTGAGGGCAGAGATACATATGCTCAGGTGGTCTGTGGGTGTGGAAGGCTGGCCTGGGAAATTAGCATCAGAGGTGTTTTCTGGGCATCTCATACCTGGTATGTGGGGACTGTGGGCAGAGTTGGAAGCATCCAAACTTACACTGGGAAGGACCAGGGCTTGGAGGTGCAAGGTAAAAGTCCTGTCACTTCCAGGCAGGTGCCAGCTCCTGGCCAAACCACACCTGCCCTGCGAGCCTTATGAGCCTCTGGGCTGCACTGCTCAAGGGAGACTGGAGTCCCACTGTGCTCCGCTCCATGCTCGGAGGACCTCTCAAGTCACTGAATCTTTTCCTCTACCTCCAGGCCAATGGGAAGTTCAACCAGAGGTCTTTTAGTTTATTTGACATAGACTTCGAGATAGAGACCTTACATCTTGCTGGACACCACATCTCCAGGGTGGCCTTGCCTCTGCCCAGCGTGAGAGCCTCTGGATGCTGCCCTCTAACCTTGGGCTGCCCTCCTTGGATCACCCTCCACTTCGGTCCTCCCTCCACCCTGGGTCATACTCCACCCTGGGCCACTCTCCATCTTGGTCCTCTCTCTACCTTGGGCCACCCTCTACCCTGGGCCACCTCCTTGGGCCCATCTCCTCTCTGCCTGATCTTGGGGCTACAGTAATGTCTGTGTCCTCTGCTCCCCATTCCTCAAGGCTGGCTGACAGCTAAAAGCCTAGAATCATTAGCATCTCAGACACTTACTGATGCTGCAAATGAACAACCTGGCTTTACAGCAGAAAGGGCCACCCCTTACCACAGTGTGGTCTTCACCACCTAAGGGCCTGGGCTGCAGAAAGAGCCCAAGAGCCCTGTCTAGCTATGGAGCTTTAAAGCAGACTTCCCCCCCACCCCCTGCATAATGTGGGCATCCTGAGATGATGGATGGAGTGTCCTTGGTCCAATTGGGCGAGTGTCTTGAGTCAGCCCTCCAGTCTGAGCTGTGGTGATGACAGAGCCAGGCAGGAAGGCACCAGGGGTATGGCCCTGTGTGTGCAGCTGTTCACTCAGCCCTTGTGTACTGTCGCTGGTGTTGGTCAAACACTGAGAACTGGAGCAACTAAATGACTGCTCTTGCCTTGAAGAACCTCCCTCACAGCACATGAGAACAGGAGGGCTTTACTGTGAGAGTGAGCAGCACAAAGCCATGTGCAAGGACTACCCCAGGCATCTGAGCAGGACTGGATACCCTGCCAGCCTATTCTCCAGCAGATTTAGAATCTCACGTCTGATATTATCAATCACCTAACTTTCTGTGATTCCTGCCTCTTCTCAGAAATAAGGAAAGACATCCGAGTGGAAGGTCTGAGAGAGAGGAGGAGGATGGAGGAAGGTGGGAGGGGAGCATGCACCCCACCTGGCCATGACTGGGGAGATATGTTGTAAACCCCAGCACTGGGCTTGATTCCAGTAGTGCGGTAATTTCCCAGAGTGTGGGGTGATGTAGAGGGGTCAGGAGGTGGAGTACGGACGCAGGCGTGCTTGCTCTTACCTATACTGGGTGACAGCTGGGTTGGCCTTTGCTGAGCAGTGGAATGTGACAACATTGTCTTCTAGTACTGGCTGTGGCTCCACAGATAAGTTGACAAGTGGAGGGTCTGCAGAGAGAAGAGGTTCAGAGGAGCTTGGGGAGCCTATCCACGGTTCAAAAAGAAGCGAGACAGGGAAACCTCTCTGGTGGCATGGAAGGCAGAGGCTACCCCAGGGACCCTCAGAGCAGCCACAGCTCCGGAGTTCCGTAGAGTGCTTGGGCCTCAGCAGGAAGAACCTGCACTGGACAGTCAGTCTGGGGCTCCCTCCCTGATCCTTGCTTTTGAACTGGAATAAACACGCCAGGAGAGAGCTAAGTTGAGGCAGGAATATAAGATTTCAGACTAATCTTTCAGACAAATAAAAGACTGAAGGCGACAATGCTGATTGAGACAGAAATGACAGGTGTCAAGGAGAAGACCAGACATATAGATACTAAGAATGACAGCCATACAGAAATGGAGAGGGCTAGGGGCAACAGTGGCAGATGGAGAGGGCAAACAGAGAGAGTCAAGGGCTACAGTGGCGGATGGAGAGGACCAAGGGCTGTAATAGTGGAGTGGAGGCCAGGAGTTGGGTGGTTGAAACTCAGTCCAGAGGACGCGCTGTCAGCCTAGGCCCTCTGTGCTTGAGAGAGCACCCTCTGACTCTCTCAAAGTGGCCACACTCCAGATTCTGGCTCCCAGTGGCCCAGCCCCCTAGGACTCAGCCCCAGGAGACATGAGACAGCCAGTCTCATCTTTTCCCTGGTCCTGTTCTGGCAAGCAAGCTGGCTTTAGTTGTACATTGAGTGATGAGGGCAGCTGGGTCCCATGACCGTGGCTGATCTCCTGGCATTCCTTCCAGTGGGCAGAACAAACCACGGCATGCTCATGAGGATGTTGTGGGCTTAGATCCCCTCAAAGGATCCACGAAAGCATCAACCAGGAGGGTGCACTGTGTCCTGCCCTGCCCTGCACTGAGTCCCCAGGTGGTCCCATCCACAACTTCAGCTCTGCTCCAAGCCAGCCTCTCCTGGAACTGGTATCTCTGGAGACTGGGAGGCGCTCACTGTAATTGCAGATCCTAGTGAAGACAGGGGACGAAGAGGCATGTCCTGAATAGCAGGAAGTGCAATGTGCTGGAATGTTTCCCTGAAATTAGCTCAGGTCCAGTTCCAGGAGGTCCATAGATCTGGGATCCTCTGCTTGCCTGTCTTCCTATGGGGAAGTGACTTCAATCTCAGGTTTTGAAGTATAATTCAAATGACCACAAAGATAAGTGTGGCATTTAACAGTGACAAGAGCTCATCTTGCAGGAGAGCTATGACTGTGAGCTCTGCACCCACCCCCCAATTGAAGCCCATTTCCACACAAAGAAGACCACAAGCTTCTGGGAAGTCTGCACAGGAGCTCCTGTCTGCTCTGTGCATGCTGGGCTCTCTAGTTATGGCGCCACAGAGACCTAGGGAGGACCTGGCATGTACAGCTTCAGGAGTCTGCAGAAGCGTGTCTGAAGGCATGGAGATAGTGCTGTTGGACCAATGTCCTTAAAATATTCTGAAGCTGGGTGAACAAAGTCCCACAAGGATAAATATTGTATAAAACCATTGTTGGAAAATGAGTATAAGGATAGAGGAGTGGGAGAGGCTGGAAGCAGAGGGATGTGCAGGGGAATGAAGAGATTAATCACTGGATTGTACAATTTGGTGGGTGGGGGATGAGGGAAATGGAAAGAATTTGTTTGAATTTGGGTTCAAATTTTGTAAATAAACTTGAGAGAGTGGAGGAACAGTGAAAAAACAAACAAACAAACAAAAAAATATTCTGAAGCTCAGCATGGAGGAGGTGAAAGCCTCCATCAAACTCCTGTTTGAGAATGTGACGGTGTCAGTTCAGTAGAGTATGGAGACCCTCCATAGGACCTAAGAGACAGTCCCAGAAGGCCAGCCCTCTCCTGAGTGTCCTTTCCGAAGCAATGGGACTTTGAAAGGCAGAGTGTGGTTGAGGCATCCTAGGAAAGCAAGGGTAGTGAAGGCCTTGAAAGTGGCAGAATCTGCCATGTGAACTGTCAAAGCAACTATCTCATTACAGTGTATTTAGAGGACAGACTCTACCAGCTGGTGGGCAGTGGTAATGGTGAGGACATCCTCACTGATCACACAATGGGAGGACCTTCCCTTCCCTTGTGTCCTTGTCTTCTCAGGCTAGCCTGTGGATGTCACCTTCCTCCTTCATCTCCCCCATGCCTTGTCATGTCCTTTTTGCCCAGCCTTTACTGGTAGGTGCTCAGAAGACCCCTGAGGCTTTCCCACCCACCAGGCTCCCCTGCAACCACCCCCTGCCCAGGCACCTCCATCCCTTCCTCCTGGTCTCTCCTTTGTGTGTGCAGAATATGAATTTTCTGGAGTCAGCTGGGCTCCTGAGTGTCTGTCATATCCAAGTATTAAACGTGATTTTAATCCCACTTGTGATGTTGGCTGCATAACTTGAAGGAGGGCAGCTTTGATGTAGCTGGTGGAGCTAAGATCACATTGAACAGATGTTACAGCTGAGACCCTGTTAGCATTTTCATCCGCAGTCTGTGTGTGCTTTCAGGAGAAGCATCGTATCAAGGAAGGGGTGGGAAAAGAGAAAAACCAAATGACTCAATGATTTTTTTGCATGTCCATTTGAAACTTGGCAGCTGGATATGGATTCCAGATGTGGGGAGGCTATGGGCGTGTTAATCTTTCTCTCCCATTACTCAATCTGGGGGCTTTGTCTTCCATTGGGTAACATATAAAGACCAAAAGAAACAAACAACAAATGTTCTTTTGCTGAGCTTGGATGCTTCTTGATTGATTAAGAAAATGAGCAGGTTTGCAAAGGCAGTTCTGATTCAGCCCACAGTGTTCACTGCAAACAGTGGGGGATCAATGAGTGGAAGGCAGCAGAGGGAGAGGTGATCTGTGTTTTTGCTTGGCAGGTGCATGTAAACACCCCCCAGACCAGGGAAGAGGCTTGAGACAAGTGGCTAAAGGCCTCTCTCCAGTTTGGATTGTGGGGACACTCAAGGACAGTTTGTGGATTCATGGAAGGGAGGACAGTGGGTATGGTCATAGCTGGAATTTAATTGTATCAGGTGTGTTAAGAGCTTTATCTGATTTAAGGCATTGTGCTGCCAACCATAGGAGAATGATTTGAATCTATGAGCTGCTCTAAAGGAGAAGGACGGACAAGCTTCTCCCATGCAATTTACAGCCTCCAAGAACTTGCTGGAGGGTCTGCCATGATTTGGTTCCTATTCGACAATAAAATTTTGAGGTTTGAGTCAAGTAAGCATTATAATCTCCATTTACAAATGAGGAAACATGGAGCTTAAACAACCTGGTCAAAGTGGCATAGCAAGTGAAGCCCCAATTCAAAACAGGGCCATTAGGAGGCCAGGCACGTGGGTCCCAATGCTGACACTGACTTCATTCCCAATGCCCCTTCCTGATGCGGCTAAGACATCACAGAAAGAGAGCCAGCAAAGGCCTTGAGCCCTGCAGAACCCGTCATCTATGGGCGCTGTGGCACTGTTAAAACAGTCATCTGGTTGCATCTAGGGGGTCCTACCAGTCAGTGGGCTGCTATTGACAGGAGGGCCTTGGTGTGTCTGGAGTACACTTTGTCTCCCCAGCTCTGTCAGCCAAGGATCAGGCTGCTTTGATGGGGCATCAGTTAAGATTGTGCTTTCTGTATGGGATTCTGTGACTGGTCCATGGGCTAGGCTGGGGTGGGGGGAAAGGGAGAGGGGTAGTTACAGAAGCTGGGACTGGAAGTCTAGCTTAGGTGTCCTGCGTGTCCCACAGTCATTCCTCCCCAATTTGGCTTGTGTATGGAGACACTGAGCCCTAACTCTTGGTACACTTTAGACCGGAAGACGAAGACACCAATGAGTCAATCACCAGAGGCCCAAAGGGTAAAGGGACAAGTGTGGGCTCCTCTGGCTCAGCAGTGGGGAAGCCTTTCTGGCTCACTAATATCCATGCACAATGCTTCCTTTCAATAGCTGGGCCCAACTGCTCTGGCCCATAGAGGGTTACCTCTGCAGGGTGTACAAGGTTGGTGCCTGACAAGTGGGGAGGAAGGAAGGTCTAGGGTGCAAAATTAAAGAGGATCTCACTTGCAAGGGTGACCCTACTAAATTTGACCCTAAATTTAAGTGCTTCCTTAATTGCCCTAGGCATCTACATCACCCTAGTCTTGTTCTGGTAACAGCTCTCCTTTAATGAGAGGGGTTGAGGGTGAGTGACTGGTGGCAAGATAATGACAACAAAGACTTCCTCAGTGACTCAGCTGTCACATCTGGGGGTCTAGAGCCCATCAGGTGGAGCTTTGAAGCAATTCCATTGTTAGTATGAATCATAGCCATGCCATTGGCTGGGTGCTGACTGTGTGACTGTAGAACTGGGCTACCACGATGCTTGGAAAGGCTAGGTTCAAAGCCCATGTGGCCTTGGCATTGTACTGCAACCATAGGAGAATGATTTGAATCTATGAGCTGCTAGTCAACCTTCTGGTACTTCCACCATCCCAAATAACTTCTCCAAATGATTGCTGTGAATGAGCACAGTGAGAGCTTAATAAACATCGAGCTCCTTTTTCTCCCATCTTAATGCCACCCCTCCACAAGGGAGGCCATACCACGCCCTCCTCAGGTGCAGTGCTATGCACACTGGCTCGCTTCCTTTCCAAGGGAGGGAAGTGTGGGGCCAGCTGGTGGCCAGGCAGCCTGGGGCCCAACCATGAGATCTCCTGAGATGGAGTTCTGGGAGGCAAATCTGTATCTTACAAAAGATCTTATAGAGCACAGCTCTTCTCTGCACACATGGGGTTACTTGATGGCAGATAGTTTGATCTCTGGCTTTGGTACTACGGCTGGGACAAGGCTGGCCTCGTATGATATTTTTACTTGATGTGACCATCATGACAAGCTTGAAGCCCTCTCTTACTCTTACACAGCCTGCAGGGTGGGTATGGGTGAATTAAGAAGTTGGGATGTGGCTTGTGAAGGGCTGTTCAGGACCAGCCCTTCCCTTTCCCTGAGTCCCTGACTGTGGTGCCAGGCGGCTCCACACTGGACTGACTGGAATAGGCCAGGCAGGGCGAGTACTCACGCTGAATGTCAATGGTGACGGATGTCTCCTTGCCACTGGGGATGGCTTTGTTGGTGGCACGGCACACGATGCTCTGCCCATTCTCCACGTCGCCGGGGGAGATAAAGAGGGTGCTCACAATGCTTTCGCGCTTGCCATCTCGAAGCAGGGTCTATGGGTGGTGACGGAAAGAGGTACCATGTCACTTGGTCCAGGGTACAGACTCAGCGAGGGACAAGAGAGCAGGAAGTGAGCCAGCTCAAGAGGCTCTCTGCACCCAGGGGTGCAGGGCTGGGCTCCCTCTGGTCTCCCTGGTCTGGCGGAGCACTAAGTCATTGCAGGATAACATACCAGAAGGCTTCCTATTGTGTATGAAGATCATCTGGATGGTGTCCAAAGTATGAGAGCAGCAGGCCATGGCCCTGTGCAGACAGGGACTCATGGATAGTATGTCCCTGAGCCCTGGGTATTGCAAATAGCCAATGCTTTCATGAAAGTTCAAGTCTACACGTACCCTTCAGAAGAAAGTCATGGTAAACCAGCCACTGAAAACCCTAATCCCAATCTTTGTGCATTTGGGGGCCTTGACTTGCGAGCACTGGTTTTTCCTGCCTCCAGTGAGTCCTGGGGCCTATAGCAGGGCCCTGAGGTCCTGCAGGAGGAGGGTGTTTGGGCAGAATCAATGACTTTCTAAATAGCTTTATCAATAGACTATCCTTTCTAAATGATTTCACATTCTGCCTCATCAGAACCCCCAGCAACCACAGGTAGATTGTGCTCCCATCTTCTTTTTTTCTGGTGAACAATCTGAGACCTAGAGATCTTGGCCCGATTTCCATCTGAGGCTGTGGCTAGAACTAGTCTTCAGCTAGTTCCTGCTAAAGCTCCCAGCAGTTTGGTGACTGCATCCTGAGCTCGGAGGTGGTCAGGGCAGCATGTGCTGTGAGTGGGAGGGCCACATCCAGGCTGGGATGGGTATCTGCTGGTCCCAGGAAGCACTGGACTTCCTCCAGCAAATGTGCGGTGCAGCCCCATCTTGTTCTGGTTGGAGCCAGGGAATCCATGTATAGATTCCTCACATAAGCAGAAATCTCATAGATAGTAAGTAACTAGGACCCTGTAAGACACAGGGCATGGTCTCCATCTGGGAGAGAAAACAAGTTCACAGAAAGTTAGGCATCTGCTGGGCAGAACTGGGGTTAGTACTCAGGCATGCACATTGAGCCCCAGAGCCGCTTTACAGCTTCTGAGATGTTGAGGGTGGTTATAGTGTCTACCAAACAGGACAGATGGGTAGATGAATGGGCAGAGTATCAGAATCCCTGCTCACAGGTGTGGCCTACAGCATCAAAACAGGCTGGGTCTCTATCCAGAACAGCACATCCTGCTCCTGTGTTAGGCAAAGTCAGCCTGTGGAATTCCAGAGGTCACAAAGCAGGGCAGTGATCATGTCCCTCTAAAACTCAAGCCCTGGTTCTGGTTCTGTACATGTCAGCGGCAGGTCTGATTAGCTAACTGGGTAAATTTTCTGTTGCTCAATGAGGAGTGTGTTGCTGGGCTGGTGTTGGCACTGTCCTGGAGCCCAGCAAGGGGCATGCAAAGTTTCACCCAGGCCCTCTGGAAGCCACAGCCTCCTCGCCTGTCTGGCATTGACAAGGGCACAGGGTGCCTACTAGCTTGCACTGTATGGATCCAGGGCCCCTCCCAGCCTGCATGTGTGAACCAAACCCCTCAAGACCTGCACTGCATGGACTTGACCCTCTCCCGGCCTGCACCACGTGGATGCAGGGTCTCTCACGGTCTGGACCACGTGGATGCAGGGTCTCTCACGGTCTGGACCATGTGGACCTGACACCTCAAGGCCTGCCGTGTACCGCGTGGACCCAGGGCCCCTTCCAGCCTGCACAATGGACATGGGGCCCCTCTGGGTCTGCACAGCGTGGACCTCATATGGATATTGGGGTGTGAACAAGAACAGTCTCCTTGATGAAATAAGACCTGGGTGTGGGAGGGGCAGGCAGTGTGGGTAAGAGGGACAGGGGAAGGGTGATGGGCTGCATGGTCTTTCCATATCCTTCCCAGTTTTTTTTCCTTTGTGTGAACAGAAACCATTTGCATATATGTCTGACTACATAGAAGCACCCCATTGATCTAACCCAGTAGGGTGCTGGTAGGAGGGAGCCAGCTCCCCTCTGCTGCTTCTAATTAGGTCCTTGGCCCATCTGCCCTCCCCAGTCAGGGTGCGCCTTCTCCTTCATTGATGATTAATGACATATTTACTTTGGGCTCACGCTTTTCTGAGAAATGAAAATTCTAGTTCGTGTTGTTTGTTTCAGCTAATTAGAAAAAACAGCCGTGTTCATTAAAGCAGAGGAACTAGGGAAGGCCCAGCACCCCACCCTGGCCCCACCTGGACCCTGTGCCTGGCGGGGGGAGAGGGGCCCTGAGGACAGCTGGGTTTGTGGGTTTAGCCACTGGCACATTGGGGAGAGGGTAGATGGAGCTGTGCTAGGTAGGCAGAACGATCTCTTCTGGCTGTTTGTAGGCTTTCTGACCTCCACACCTCTCTTTGCTCTCCCTGCTGCCTTTCTCTGCTTCACTTTTTCACATTCAGAGGAAGCCTTGAAAGTACTTCCAGGTCATTCTCTCCTTACTCCATTTTCTTCACAGCCCCATTCCTCTCCACTCCCTTAACTGAATTTAGCTTTGGGGATGCTGCCGGCACCACACCCCGAACTTTCAGCTGGAAAAGTTCATTAGTGAATAAATCAGCTCACCAGTTAAGCAGCAGAGCCTCTGTTGCCTGGGGCGTACCGCAGGATAAGGTCAAGGCTTCAAGTCCTGCTTGGACACTTCCTCTGCATGTTCTGGGCTGACCTGTAGCCCTGATGGGCTGCACTTAGGATGCACTGAGGAAGCATCATGAGGAAGCAGGGGGCCTGGTGCTCTCATTTCTGTGCAGATATGGGTCAAGGGCCTGGTTATGTGTGTGCTTATATGAATGGGGATGAGCCACCGGAGTACAAACCATGGAGTGGCTTTTAGTCCTGCTTGTGGGCGTTTACTGATTTTTGGCAGGACAGTGGCCTCAGCAGTGGCCACTGGTGTGGCTGGCTAGTGTGGAGTTACTGTACACATGAGTCCAGATGTCTGATGTGTGCAGCAGCCTCCCTGCCCCTTAAAGAATGATCTTTAGATCTCAGCTTGGCAGAGAGCCAGCCAGGCTGGGCCCTGTGAGATGGGAAGCCTGAGGGCAAGCGACAGTGTAGGAGGTGTATTTAGCCTTGGTGCCAAATGCAGGAAGCTCATGTATATGCAAGCAGGACTGTGGAGTGGACTGAGAGGGCCCTGATTGCCAGGCAACTGGCCTCAGCCTCCTCTCCCCCTACTTTCTGTGTCCTTTTTAGTCATTGCTCTGCTTTTCCTCGTACAGCTTCTGGGAGTGTGATCTGCTGCTACTCCATGAGGTGTGTATGAGGAAGGTGGGCTGCACAGTGCTCTTTGACCTTGGCTTTCATCCTTAGGGTACCCAGCCTGGTGCTACAGGACAGGAGTGTCATTCACAGAGAAGACAAGGCAGAGTGGATGCCTGACAGCAAGGGACAGATGGGATATGAGATGTAGGATGTGGGGCTCAGTGGAGTGAAGCTGGGAGGAAGTGGGCCTTCATGTGGAAGGCCTGGGCCCTGATATAACCTGGTTCTGGTGGTGAGTGGGTCAGCAGTTTTTTGGACAAGAGCAGCCCGGATCCTGGTGAGAAGTAGAGTTCTGGCTAAAGCAGTCCATCCTCCCACCTGTCCCCACATTGGGGTCACATCCCTGCCTGACAGCTGTACTGGAGATTAGAGGAAAGAGCAGATGGAGCAGGAAGCTGACTCTTTTCTCTCTTCCTCTTCTACATCTGGGCCTGATTTGGTCATTGACTAGCTTTCCAGAACACATTGTGAGCCCCCTGGGAGAGCACCAGGAGCAAAGGAATAGTTGATGCCCTCAGGCAATCCCAAGTGCTGTTGACCTGTGGTTTGCTGGTTTGCTGAAGGGATTCCTCTCTGCAGAGAAGGGACCCCAGGGACCCCATAGACCCCAGGGCAGGAAGCAGAGGGTGGGATATGACTGCCCCATAGCCTGCCCCATAGGCAGCATCACTAGACATCTGTTAAGGATTGAACTGTGTCTATCAAAATAATACTGGATATAGTAGGAAAGAGATGGAAGCCAAATGTCCATCAATGGGTGAATGGATGAAGTCTGGTGGTCTAGTGGTGAGGAATTGTGCTAGTAACCTAAAGGCACACAGTTTGAATTAAGAAGTCTCGCTCCGCTGGAGGAAGGTGGGAAATCTTCTGTGTGGTTGACTGCCTCTGAAAAACCACTGGAGGGTCAACTTTGAGTCCATTCCAACTCTACAATACTTAACAACAACAATGTGCACACAACAGAATACGATGTAACACAAAGAGTAACGGGAGAATTCAAGAACTGCTATATAACATGGATGATTCTAGAGGACATTAAGCTGAGTCAAATCAGTTATTCAACAAAGAACAAATATTGTAGGAGTGGGTCTTGCTGCTTGCCCACATATTGTGTGGTCTCACTCCTTGGTCATTTGGGTACTTTGGGGAATCAACTGCTGTCAGGCCTAAGTGGGATCCCTAACTCAGGCAACAGGGAGGTCCTGGGCATCTCGATGGAGGCAAGAAGCCACTTCCAGAAGGGAACAATGGACTTACTCTGTGCTCATTCAGGTACTTTGGGAACAAACTGCTGTCAGGCATGACCATGTGGGATCCCTAACTCAGGCAACAGGGAGGTCCTGGGCATTATGACAGAGGTGAGAAGCCTCTTCCAGAAGGGAACAATGGACTTCCTCTGTGCTCACTCAGGTACTTTGTGGAACAAACTAATGTCAGGCCTTGGCCTTGCAGGCCTTGGGACAAATAAGAGAGAAAAATATATAGGTGCTTCTCAAAACATTGTTGTGCATCAGCGTGGATATTTGAGAGCTGCAAGACCTGCAAGCAGGGTGTATCAAGTGTTGGCAGGGTACAGCAAGCCTCAGTGGGGTGAAGTGAGCCACAGTGGGGAGTAGCGAGCCACAGCAAGTTGCAGTTAGCTGCAGTGAGACCCACCTGCCAGGAGCAAGCAGGACAGTGGTAAATTGAGTGATGT